TAAAAGCACTCGGCTTGTTCGACTATGTCGACTCACTGGCCATGCACAAGGCGGCGCACCAAAAAGTGGAGGATTTATTTTTGAGGTAATTTTTAGCTTTTTCTATATGTAACAATGTCCTCCAGTATTAAACTCAACACTCTATTTAATACTCACTGTCACAAGTTTTGCATTGAACTTATCGGAATTTTTGAATAGAGCAGAACCGGCAAAATGGATAGCGCAAGATTTTGCCTACAAAAAAGTGTCACCTCTACGTGTATTTCACCTTTCCTTCAGAGAGGCTCGTGCTGATTCTCTTAACATTGATCTGATTTTGAACACACTTGCAGTATTAAATCAACTCATCTGCCACCGGCATAGCTAAAATGTGCTCTTAATCTCGATTTTTTTCATTTACCGAATTGCTACATCCTTTTCGGTAAAGACAGTGATAGTTCTTGAGCAAGGCTGATACATGCTGAACACAAAAAAAAGCAGCATTGAACACTGCCCTTTAGATTGCGAATATGGAAATCGTGTAATCCGCCATCCATCCAAAGATTTTCTCATTTTTGAATAGACTTTGATCAGAAAACTGATTACTCATGTTTATTAGTCAGCATTTGTGACGTTTGAGAAATTTTATTGAGTATTCGTCAAGTCTTGCATTAAAGCAGCAATTTTGACTCCGAGAGTATTCTAAAGATATGTAGATTGCACGAAAATTGCGGTAAAGGTGCTTGCGCCACCCTCTGTTTTTTCTGAGGTAGGCGATTTTACAGTTGTGAAATCGGCAAAAAGGGATCGTGCTTGGACGAAATTAAACCAATACTAACGCAGTATGGTGTCTGCTTTGTGGTGTCACCAAACATGACTGTGAGACGACCTGGTTAGTTTTTTTGAACTTTTGCGACATTAATGTATTTTTATCGATATGATGCAGCGCTTAGACCATTGTTGGCGTTCTCTGTTTAGGTCCTGAGACGACGCTCTCACTGCTTTTGAACTTGGAATTGTACGAGATTATACCCGGCACCGTTTCGGATTCTGGCATTATTCTTTCACTACATGATCCTAGTGACACATCATCACATCATCACACTGTTGGAATTCACCTTGAGGCCGGCAAAGTGGTTACAATTCCGATAAATGAAGTTAGAAAGGTGGGAGAACTCTTGAACAACAGTGTAAAGCACACTTTTCTTACAGTACATTTCTTAGCTAACACGATACAATCAGCACTGTGGAAGACGTACGGTAGGACCATTCTTGCGCAAGCAATATTCAAGGGAATCATGCGAGTGGGTTTCTGTCATGCAGGACGTTGAAAGAGCTTGCAAATGTCGCCCAGTGAACAGTCCATACAACAGAAATATGTTCTCAGATCAACCTCTGGTAAGCTTTCTCGTGGTCTCTGAATCGCATATTTCCGCAATGTGGCGCATGAAAAAAAAGCAGCAAACATAAAAAAGTGATATGCGCGTCTAGTTTATTTGAAGATAGTTGGTTTCAAGAACCAACACTGGCACCACAGCGGTGCAACGCCTGTCAAAATCAGGGGAGGGGGGAGAGCAGCAGCTGATATGATTAATGCCAACCGAGCTACAACTAAACTTCTCACTTGTTTGTGCGAAATTTTAACTGCGGATAAGTAAAATG